ATTCATTATAATGACTCTGTAAGAATACATTGCAATCTTGCACTCCTGAATTTCTACCAATCAGCAAACACTAGCTCCTAAAAATAATAATTTAAAAGAATGAAAATTTGAGATTAAATTAAAGTGTGTATTTATTTTAAAAAAAATCAAAATAAAGTTCTTCAAAGTCATTCAAAACATGCTTTCACTTTTAAATTTCCATTATTCAATTTTTATAATAAGTAGCAATCTGGCAACTCTTATTTTGTATCAATTTGTATTCAAAAGCGATTTAATTAAGTCTATTTATGGCTGATTTAGATAGCAAAGTTCAAAGTGAATAATTTGAGTCTTAGATATGATAATGAAGTAAATATGAAATAAAATCATAATATTTTTAAAATTCTTTCCAAGTATGCTTTAATTTTTCAATTTTACTATCCAACGCATAATTTTATCTTATTTCACAAATTTTACCCTGTTGATTAAAATCCTATTAAACAAAATTTTCATATTTTTTTTGAAATTTGACATTATATAACTTGACTCAATGATCCAAATCAATTTTTTATTTTTAAGAAAAAAATCTCTTTTAATCTTCAAAAACCGTTTTATGTATTGTTGTACTAACATATTTCACATTATCATACATTTTATTTGCTAATGAATTGTAATTGTCATCTTTTGTAAACTAATACTTCCTTTTTTGTTATAGTTATTTGTTATTGAAAACATGTCTTGATGTGTAGTTTTTGATTCATAAATCTTTTCATTTATATTAATTGTTAATTTATGTTATTTTTATTTCTGACATCTTTGCAAGATTGAAATTTTCATAGTTTTTTTCAATTGATCACTGTGATTTTTTTAACTATAAATATGGCATTGTGTAACAACACTTTGTATCAACATTTTTCTTATGCTATTCTAGAGTTTATATAATTTGTAACACAATGTTTTAGCAATGATGTATTTAAATAATTGCGCTTTCTTGTGTTGGGTTGGTGAATTTGTATCATCATTTGCTATTAACTAATATTAGCACTTTGTATCATAAGAAAACATTATTTCAAATTGTGTTATATATGTATTTAGGTCTATTGATCACATTCATATTTAGACTTGTTTGGTGTTAGAACAAAAATTACCGATTTAAAGATATAACAAAATATTTGCTCCAATGTGACAACTATCATACTACATGTTGGTAAAGTGAAGTTGAATAAGTATAGTAAATGATTATACAAGAGAACATATGATAAGATTAAATAGTATCGCGATTCTAACTTTTTATTGAAAATTGTAGACGTAAAATTTGAGAACCATCAAATGATCAAGAGAGACATATGTAACGTGGTTCACGCTTGGGGGAGAGTGCTACGTCCAGCACAAACACATATGTAACGTGGTTCACGCTCGGGGGAGAGTGCTACGTCCAGCACGAACACATATGTAATGTGGTTCACGCTCGGGGGAGAGTGCTTCGTCCACCACGAACACGAGCACCTTTACTTCAGATCTTGTCACGAAAAGACCTCCTGTACAAGGTGAGACCCGAGGTATTTATCCCCAGTCCAGACAACCATCCTAGCTATAAATAGCTAGGACCCGAGGTTACTCCTTAATTGGAGCTAATCTCAACAGAAATAGCTAGTGTATGGGTTTAATCAATGAGTAAATTGTATTTTATGTATTATCAGGTTAGATGCTATGATCATCCAAAAATGCATGCCCATCGCTAGCATAGGTTTTTATATATTACATGGTAATAGATCAAGCCCGAAGGATCCGAAGGGTCATAAGTTGAAAAACACAATATAAGAAAAAACTTACAAACAAGGAAAAAGAATCCAAAGATCAATCCCTATTTAGTGACAAGCACTAGAATGGCAACTAATGATATTTCTAATATAACAACCTAAATCAAAAGGAACTAATTGTAATAAAGAATAAAAAATTTCCACATCTATATTATGAGCATACTCAATATCTTTGTACTTGGAACAAGTAACATATATATGTTCTTCATTCTCAATATACCCATCGTCACATAATCTACAAATATGTTCATTTCTATCAATATTAAACCAACATATTTCCTCAAATTCAAGACTATGAGATTTAGCTCTATGCTTAACAATAATATGACTTAAGGAGTTAGAGATTCCTGTAAGTATATATTCTTGTTCACAATAAACTAGCATATTATTCACATGAAGTTGATAAAACTGCATCTTGATGACTAGCTTGCTTCAAAAATTTGAACAAATAATGTTCAAATATTCCCCGTGTAGACGTTCGCGAAGTGCCATAGTTGCAGTGCTCAATCGCGTTGCGCCACATTCCACCTCAAAGACCAAGTTATCACATCTGCTAACCATCACTTGCAACATGTCGCACGCAAAGCTTGAAGAGGAAGGCAAGAAGCATCAAGAGATTCCACACTCCTAATATAAGTGATGGTTAAGTATAGAGCTTCAGCCTCTAGAGGTAGACAACCTGTTTCCGCAAGAAGAATAACTTTTGGAGTTTGATTTCTAATATCCAATTCGTCTTGTGAAAAGATCTTTTGCACCATCTTCACACACTCTGAGCCTGTCTTCTTACAACCAAACCTGAGACTCGGGTTCCATATAATACTACCCGCAACACTAAGCTTCTAAATAAAAATGTTATAAGACTCCATGACACTAGATGAACTTTTCACACTGATTTTAACAACAAATATAGAGCTTTGTAACTATCTTTTACTTTCTTTAGTACGTAAAGTGCCCAACTATAATCATAAGAAAATTCAATGTCTAGATATTTATAGCTCTTCATCTCTTTTAATTGTAGATCCTTGTAATAGATGGAGAATTTGGATATACTGCTCACTATCATGACTTTAGGCTTCTTCACACATTTGCTCCATCTGATTCTGGATACAAAACCTAGCCAAAGTGTATAATTGTTTATGTAAACTAATTGTATCACATGCTAATAATATGATATCATTTGCATACAAGAGAGCTTTGTTAACTAATTTATAAGCTTGATACCTTCATTATTAGATGCTTTCAACCACTCTTTGATATCATCTATGAAAACTCCAAATAGAGTAGGAGAGAGTACAATCTTGAATCACTCACATGATACTCAAAACCTATTGAGTTTGAGAAGTGTTGATCTTGATCCAAACATAATGATATAACGTGGCCATACATGCTAGAAGATTTGATGGTACTTCAATGGCTTGCAACCTTTTCCCATAAGAACTCACGGAATACATTGTCAAAAGATTTTTTTAAATGGATGAAGGTGCAAAATAAAGCTATTCCATTGTACTTAGATTTCTTCTATAAAACACGCAAGCCCAAGATATGGTCAATGATGTTGTATGTTATGCAAAAAATTACTTGAAATAGCAATCTCTTTGAATGATATTCAATCCATGTGTTCAACTTTGACTCTACCAATTTGCCAAACAATTTAGCAAAAATACGATCCACTATCATGGTTGGTACTCTTTTTGTCACCAAGTATTTTCTTCTTGACTTGTGAAAAGGAACAATCCTTCATAGAGATCAAGTTGAAGAAATAACCTACATAGCAGCATTATCTAACACTAGTGTGAATATGGGTTCAATATCATATACTTCTCATTTGAAAGGTTCAATAGAAAGATCATTCAAATAATTTGATTTACCATTTGCTAATTTTTTGAGTTGAATCATCACCTCTCATTAAGAAAGTAAGTCAAATATTTTTTCAGATCATGACATTTGTAAGGTTAATCCGCCTCTTGTTTTCATAGTTAGTCTAATCATAGGTAGTCTAACTCTAGTTATGTTTGATCTTCAGTTAAAGTTTGGGATACTTAATCCAAGTCCAAACATGTTTGTGTTTCAATCTCACATGTATACCGCAAAGGAGAGATAATGGAGAGCTTGGTTATAGAGGCCTGATGTACATTCTCGCTTTAGTGAAGCATTTTATCTCGTGTGAATCTCGTGGAGTATTGTATGTATGAGCTTGTTTGAATAACATAGTGGAATTACAACAACATTGATGCAGCGTTGGAAAATAAATAAAGCTTTTGAGCAAAAGCAATCAAAGACTTGGGATCAATAGTAGGTTTAGAAGATCAAACTTCTAACCGATTGCATAAAGATTTGGTATACTCCATCAACTTATTTGTCAAGTACTCTTGATTTGTCCTAAAAAACTTGTTTCTTAGACTTCACCAAGTCTTTTTAAAGCCCTGCCAAATAAATAAACGTTAGAGATCCAAAGACTTCTCAACTGATCACATCCTCGTTTGTTTGCAATCAAAGTCAAATCATCCATTCCAAGGAAAATCTCTAACTCTCTGATACTTATGTCGCAAAAAGACCTTAGAATTAGTGTTTTTGAATAACTCTCTTAGTTGCAAGCTCGCCGCATGTGGATTAAGGCTACATAAAGTGTGGATCAAAAGTTCTGAAAATAACATATCAAGGTTTTTATTACTAGTATCTAAACGAAACTTGGAAGAAGTTAAAACAAAATGGCATGTAGAAAAAAGGATTGCTTTTGACAATAAAAGAGCTGCATGATGTGATTCTAGCTGATGTTCTACAATATCAAATGTGCTTGCCTTACGGTTACTAGATCATAATGGCAAAAGACCTTACAAGGCATAGTATAAATATCTACGGTGGGTGTAGAGATTAGAGAGCTATTAGTACCCCAGTATAAAAGATAACCAATAAGATATCAAATGTGCTTGCCTTACGGTTCCTAGATCATAATGGCAAAAGACCTTACAAGGCATAGTATAAATATCTACGGTGGGTGTAGAGATTAGAGAGCTATTAGTACCCCAGTATAAAAGATAACCAATAAGATAACCACTGTTAAAAGAAAAACATATATTGGAGGAGAGAGATAGCATGTGGCTCCTTAAATGAAAATGTGTTCACTAGATCAAAAGTGCGGTGTTTGTGCTGTGAAGTATAACTAGATTCTTCTTTTATTGATCTTCCTTATCGGTCTGCACCTTAGACAATAACCATTTGCTCCGTTGAGTGATCTCGCTTAGCAAACGAATCTATGAGTTGGGAGACGTCAAATGGTGGTAGTGGCAGATCATTCTTTGCAGGTGCAGCGGTAGGAACAGTGTCATCTTTTCTTCCTCCTTGAACCACCCCGCCAGCGCCATTCAGCTGCATGTAGGCCACAATAAATCACTAAGAGAGTCAGTTTTATTTTACTGATTATCACAATTGTACCAGGTAAGGGCTTATAATGGAGAATCGTATATGTGCCGGAAGACACGTTCACCTACTGTCTACTGAAAATTGGATTCAGATTCATTTCTTCACTCATTGTAATGTCACCAACAGTGGGTGCTGTACCTCACTACCCGAGACATCTGCTTGGTTTTGACCTGATCTGATGTGAAGATATACGAGAATGCTTGACATGCAGAGTATCTAGAACTCTTGCATTCAAAGCATACCTTCACGGTGCTGTCGCGTGCCGCGTTAGCGAAGATGTCAGCGCAAGACACGACTCCAGGACAAACAGCCTCCACAGCAGTTTTGGCGGCTTCAATCACGTCCAAACCCAGCAGATTCACATTAATCGCTGCATTCTTTCCGATATCCTTCCCATCAAGCAGCACCGAGCCATCACAGACCTACAGACAATTTGAAGATGAGAACTCAGCAGTCATTCACATTAACAAACCACCCAGAAAATCACAAGACACCTGTTTCAAGAGAATTGTCAAAATCTCTATTCAGCTCACAATCGAGCCTAAATTCTTACATCTTTCAGAACATTGAACTGTACCATGGATTTCACGTCTACATCGAATCCTGGTTTCGTCAGCATTGTTTTTGAGAGCAAAGCAAACTTTATACCTCCACAAAGCAGACATGAAAGGCCATGCGAATGAGACCCGCAGCATGCTTCAAGTTCTTGTCAAGCTGAGCTTTCGCTGCTTTTGCAATCACGGACTCGGCTTCTGGACACGATGTCCGGTAAAAGTCACCATATACTCTAGACGGAGGCGTCTGCGTTGCATACACTGACAGAGACAGGAACACTGTCAATGTACATCGAAGGCTCTATTCGAACGAATAGAGCCTTCGATGTTGCCATCTTGCCGACAGCTGCGGCTGTTTTGATCTCTCAAATTCCAGCTCGAGTCACGTGCATGGGCTTTTGTCTTCCTCCCACAGATGAAACCGAGTTCTGCAGCTCAATCCAATTCCTGTCCTGACGAGGTGCAAGTGACTGAAGCCACTTCACACTCCTTCCAGTGTGTTGTGTTGGGACTGTAATTCAGTCATCTATATATGTGAGAGGCTATTAGATGTAGACGTCACGAGTACATATCTATCAACCAAGTGATGGGAAAGTGTAGACTGGACCAGTTCAAGAGAGTCTTGATCTGACCACTTATCTGCTAAACGATACACCGATGATCTGGGACTGGAATGTTGGGCTCAAAAGAACATTCCTGGTTATCGTAAGATCATGATGCAACAGCGATCGTTTCGTTTAGTATGTCTGTGATGAAGGAAATAGCTCTTCGTGCTGGAATTTAGACTGCGCTCACATTATTTTCAGCTGGAGTCGAGAGAAGCAGGTGATTAAGACCTTGAGTGACAGTATAGTAAAACTCTTAAGTATACAGCAGCGAGGGATCGAGAATGAATTAAAAATATGGGTCTCCCAAGATCGGGATGTTTGGAGTATTTAAATCATCCTCGATTGATTAAGATATCAGAAGGGGCGAATTCAAACTGTTATTATCTAGATCTCACATAAAGCCAGAGGAGCTGGGCAACTATGCCTCCGGCTTCAATGATATCAACTCTCTGATCTCCTTCAAACCAGCCAAAAGGATTTTCTGGGCTGATATGGATTCCATAACTGAACCCCAGGAAATTACAATAACTTGAATGGTGACGAATTTATCGGCCGGCTCTGTATCTTCATCAATACTCACCTCACTTGAGCTTTTAATCCGAGTTCGGAGAAGCTATGCGAGCAATGGGAAGACTAGGTGTGAAAACAGAAAGTGAAGTGGGCGTGAACTATCAAACGGTCAACGAGGAGGGGCAGATGTTGCGGAGTGATTATTGCTCGATCATAACCTTTGTATATTGTCATCTGATTTTTATAGGGGGCAAAACCAGTAATATTGGATGAACTCAATTTATAATTGCAATCTTAAAATACTAAAACAATATATGTGAGATATCAGTTTCAGTTCAATCTAGTTTTTCTTTGAGTTTTTGTAATTTTTATTATTGATGAGTCAATCTACTATGGGCTGTATAGAAATTGACGTCTTTGATTCATTTTGATACTTTACCGTTATAAGTCAGGATGATGTAAAGTCAGTCAATGGATTAGGGGAAACACTAAAGGGATTTCAAGAATGATTGAAAGTGATAACATGGAGACACATTGAGAGAGAAAGAATCATCTGTGAGGAAATGTTAGTCTTGCTCGGGAAACAGTATTGATTATTTCGGTGTGTATTTCTCACCGGACAGAAATCTTGTAATAACTGTAGGAAGGTCAAGTCTGACGACTCTCTTCTTGGATATATACTCGAAATAAGTTCATTGAAGAGTTTGCGGGGACTAGGCTGTCAACCTGAACCGTGTTTGTGTGGACTGTGATTTTTCAGAAGGTTATGGGGTTTAAAATCCCTGTAGTGTTCACAGCATCGTAGCATCCATCTTGAATTCACAGCTTCGTCACATCTGTCTCCTACATTCAATTCACCCTGGCGTACTTGGAAGCATCGAGTCGCCTAACCGAGGTGACTCGATGATTGTGATGAGAGACCAAAAAACGACGACCTTACACAGCAAAGCATCAACACGGATTCGTATCAACGAAGCATATCAAATCTATGTTCTTGGTATCTTTCGACGGCAATGAGAATCTACATAGAGAAATTTGATGGCACTCGAGATTTTCGCCTCTGACGCCAAAAAATCTCAGCGCTCCTTGTCTAACAGAGATTGCTGAGGGTACTCTCCGACCCAGTGCTATTGCCTGAAGAGAATCTCCAAAATCAAAAAGAAAAAATATCTGAAACAGCTATTTTTTCACCTGTCTGATTCAATTATCCATGGTAGTGACAAAGAAGAAACACCAACGAGATGTTTCAATTTAGTTCTCTCTCCAACAAGATCTACCCGAAGGAGAGACTGTTTGGGTTCATAATGGACCAGGCAAAGCATAAATGTTCTGGGTGTTCAGCCAATAAGCCCCAAGCAATCTGACATGAACGAGTATCAACTTGCCCTCGACCCCTGAGTGGGATACAAGGGTAGGAACGTAATCAAGTGACATAAAGTCTGAGTCTACAGTTTTATCGTAATATATTTCCTTATTACAACTGGGCCTCTGAGGTCCTACATCGCAACGATTAGCGGGATATGTTTCGAAGTTCTGTCACTGCTCCAGAATTCTTAGTTCTTCAGCTACCACATGAGTTTCTTTTGGTATTGGCTGCATACTGCACAACGACATTGGACGAAACCATCAGTTGAAGAAACGAGGCCAGTTCAAAGACCTTCGCCAACGAGTTTCTTAGCTCACTATTAGTCTCTCTCTTTGTATTGAGTACTTGATTTCGATCTTGCTTAGTTAAACAACATGGCTAGAATATGACTGCAGATTCGAGATTACCGGCTAATCAAATTTAACCCTCGTAGAACTTTCAGTTGATTAGTTCCATTTCTTTTAAGTGTTAGGCTGCAGTTATTGTGTCGCACTCCAGCGTCCAGTTATTGCCTCTGTACCGTAAACTGTGAACATCAACACATTCAACCTTCTTGTAGCTTTGCAAATGTCCCAGAGATTTAGATTCATGGACGCATGTAGCTTCTGAATTAGCATTAAGTCGCAGTCACTGCACTTAGGCCAGACTAAGACAGAAAATCAGGGGGGAAAAGACAATACTTGTACAGAAGATCAGTTTCATAAGCACAATATTTTCTGTGCACCAAAACCATGGGAAATCGCACATGCGAGCGATTGAAATGAACCCATTTACTAATTATGACTTTTGGGGACTATCTGCAACAAGACCGCGCTTTCATGTGGAAAACAACAGGATGACAAAGCCATCACATCATGTTTTACATGATCATATTTGAAGACATTGACTAGAATTTGAGAACGATATGCGGCCTTAGTGACATGAACATATTCATTAATTAGGATTGTGAGGGTCTATCTGCGACCAAGCCGCACTGTCGTCCGGAATAAGAACAAGACGACAGATTCGATCACACGATGTTTTACATGATCATATTCTAAGACATTGAGAGGATTTCGAGAACGGTTGCGGCTTTCTCAACGGGAAGGATGTAGACTGTGAACATGGCGAGGATATTGTACCTCTCTCTGTAGGTAGCAATCAGCTTTGGCATTCAAATGTTTAATCCATTTACGTTGTATTTCTGATATCTTGATCAATCGAGGATGACGATATAAATACTCCAAACATCCAGATTTTGGGAGACCCACATATTTACGTCATTCTCGATACCTCGATAATAATGATAATATGTACTAGAAAGAAGGAAACACATAGTTGCAGGATTCTCAATAATATAACCAGATATAGAACTGCCTCCTTACTCTGAATCGATATTGCAGCTACAAATTGTATAAGTGTCATTCTTCAACTAGTCAAGTGGAAGATTTCAGCAGTATGTATATCCTTGACTGTACATATTGCGGTATGTTTTAAATTTTTACTATTAAACTGTCACTCAAGGTCTTCATCACCGGCGTCCCTCGACTCCAGCTGAAAATAATGTGAGCGCAGTCTAAATTCCAGCACAAAGAGTTATTTACTTCATCACTTTGAATGACATACTAAACGATAATAATGATAATATGTACTCTTTAAGAAGGATTCTCAATAGTATAACCAGATGTAGAACTGCCTCCCGTACTCTAAATCGATGTTGCAGCTACAAATTCCATGTGTCATTGTTCACCTAGTGAAATGGAAGATTTCAGCAGCATGTACATCCTTGAGATGCACATGCTGCTGTTAACTTAAAGTTTTATTATCAAACTGTCATTCAAGGTCTTGATCACCTGCGTCTCTCGACTCCAGCTAAAAGTAATGTGAGCGCAGTCTAAATTCCAGCACAAAGAGCTATTTCCTTCACCACTCTGAACAGACATACTAAACGAAGCGATCGCTGTTGCATCATGATCTTACGATAACCAGGAATGTTCTTTTGAGCCCAACATTCCAGTCCCAGATTATCGGTAAACTGTTTAGCAGAGAAGCGGTCAGATCAAGATTCTCTTGAACTGGTCCAGACTACAATTTCCCATCACTTGGTTTATAGATATGTACTCGTGACGTCTACATATAATAGCCTCTCACATATATAGATGACTTAAATACAGTCCCAACACAACACACTGGAAGGAGTGTGAAGTGGCTTCAGTCACTTGCATCTCGTCAGGACAGGAATTGGATTGAGATGCAGAACCCGGTTTCATCTGTTGGAGGAAGACAAAAGCTCATGCACGTGGCTCGAGCTGGAATTTGAGAGATCAAAACAGGTGCAGCTTTCTGCAAGATGGCCCCGTAGAAGACTCTATTCGTCTTGTGTACATTGACATTGTTTATGTCTTTGGCAGTAGATGCAACGCAGACGCATCCGTCTAGAGTATATGGTGACTTTCAGCGGACATCGTGTCCACAAGCCGAGTCCGTGATTACAAAAGCAGTGGATGCTGAGCTTACGCGGCACGCGACAGCACTGTGAAGGTATGCTTTGATGCAAGAGTTTTAGATACTCTGCATGTCAAGCATTCTCGTATATCTTCACATCAGATCAGGTCAAATCCAAGCAGCTGTCTCGGGTAGTGAGCTAGAACAACCACTTTTTATGACATTACAATGAGTAAAGAAATGAATCTGATTCCAATTATCAGTAGACAGTCGGTGAACGTGTCTTCCGGCACATATACGATTCTCAATCATAAGCTCGTACCTGGTACTATTGTGATAATCAATAGAGTAAAAATGACTCTCTTTGTGATTATTGTGGTCTGCATACAGCTGAATGGCACTGGCTGGGTGGTTGAAGGAGGAAGAAAAGATGTCATTGTTTCTAGCGCTGCAGCTGCCGAGAATGATCTGCTACTACCAACATTTGATGTCTCTGAACTCATAGATTCGTTTGCTAAGCGAGGTCTCTCCACAGAGCAAATGGTAGTTCTCTCAGGTACGGTCTGCATACTACTGAGGAAGATTAATAAGAGAAGAATCTAGTTATCCATCAGCGCACAAATACCTCCCTTGTGATCGAGTGAACTCATGTCATCTGCTGGAAACCGAGCCATGCCTGTATCTGTCAGAGAGGATTGCCCCCGGTGAAGATCCAAATGAAATGCCTGGGGTTGAGCATCAGCCTGTAGGTAGTCGACATACGTGTGTGTGAGATTTTGACTCCGATTGGTTACTGCTGAAAAAGGTCCATCGTCAAATGAAGGATCTCACACTGTTGGAGCTGGACACTGCGACAAATTCATCCACATGCTGTACATCCAGCAAAGTTCATGACACTGACCGGACATTTAACGCCACATTAGCTGAGCATTTGAAGCAGGAGTGTCCCCGCAAAACATTCAGCGACACCATCGAGATCTTCATGGACATCATCACACCAGGCCAGTTCGACGCCAAGTACTACGGCGATCTCACAAGACACAACAGCTTGTTCACATCGGATCAGAGCCTCTTCGAAGATGGTCGCACTCAGAAACTCGTGGAGGCTCTGATCAGTGATCGGCTTTTCGGTGAACGTATGCGCACTGGGGACAGTAGGAGTGAAAACAAAAGGCCAGGTCTGCAAGAACTGCCGCAAGGTGAACGAGAAATAAATCGGCTCCCTAAGGACTCATTCCTCATCCAGGTATTGTGGAATCTGAATAACGACAAACGAATCTTTCTTGCCCAATTGAAGAGCAAGAAAAAAGTGCTGTAGCAGTGTTTAGAATCCATCCATTGAAAGCATGGCAAGTAGAAAATATGGAGATAGTAGTGCGATTGTTGGTTCAGAGATAGTGCCCTTAGCACTCTAGTTGACTGTTGAAATATTCCCCACCCAAGTAAGTGAAGGGTTATCTGGAGATTTCTGAATCTATGTCGCGGATAATAGGCTTGAGTGCGAGGGAGTGGCAATCTAGTAGCAATCTAAAGTTTTAGAGTCAATAGGAAAATTGCATACTGTTGGGTATACATGTTGAAGACATCTTAATTAAAATGCTGCAACGGAAGTAAGAATAAAAAATTTCATGTGTTGATGTTCTTCTCAGTACAATTGATCACATCGAAAAGATGCACTTCTCTACGAAACAAGTAGAAGATAGACTTGACATGTGGCAATCTAGTCTTCGTTGATATGTCCGATTTTCTCCCTGTTGAGGTACTTTTAACTAGTTACTGAAGCCGTCTGAAGAACACCCGTTGTACCACACACAAAACTCGCTTCTTCCAAACTAACTGCTTGAATATATTTTTTCGTAAGTTTTTGTTGAAGAGTATGTATGTTGGGAGAGATTAGGCCTATAAGTTTAACATAGATGTCAAGTGCAAATGTTATGTGCTAAGATTAGGTTGATGTTTATTTATTCAATTGTACCTTATTATGAAAGCAGCTCTTTCAGTATCGTAATGGTTTCCCTTTAATAGAAAAGCGTATTCAGAATCTTTCAACGTTCGTTAAAGGTCCTGAATTTCGTCCAAACCGGACCATGTAGATTCCTCAATAAGGTTTTCGTGCGTTTATTTTTGCATTTCGTTCTTACTGAATTTTTGAGTTTGATGTTTGATTGGATGTGAATTGAGGAAAAAAATGACTTGACTCATCAATTAAAAAAGAAAAGATTTAAGCCTAATATAATCACTATTATGATCACAATATTGTAATTCTATAAATGAAATGATTATTGATTTAGGAAAATGAGTTGTACAATATATATTGCAGTATAGGATTATAATTAGATGACAAAATTAAATAAAAGAATATTTTTATTTTCGATCACTGATCATCATCGATCATCACTTCTAAGAAAGAAGAATTTAACACATATAAAATATTGCAAGATTCGAAAGTAAATCACTCCAGTATTGTCTAACATCGTGAATAAATTGTTCAACAAGTAATTGTAGATGCATTCAACTTGCTGAATTCTAATCACATTGCTAATCAGATCAATAAGATATTCCATACTTCTAGTTATTGATCTTAGATTGCATGTAAATTTGGCGATGCTATATATATAATAGATAATAAATTTAGAAAATGAAATATTTTTCCATGTTAAGATCATAAATTCTAGAATACCAGAGAAAATTAGACTTGCACAATTTATTACTTGATTTGATATATGGCTATAAAACTATCTTCTTCTAAAATCATATCTGAAAATATTTTGAGCAATGTCTTCTCATTATTTATTAAGCCATGATCTCACAATGCATTCTTATTCTTTAATTAAAAATAATTTTTTCTTCCATTGACACTGGTTTCTATTCATAAGCTTCATTAAATAAAGTCATATATCTGCCCAATAAATTCATTCATTACTTTTGTGCAACATCAATTTCATTATTATGGTTATATAATGAACAATATTCTTATTTCTTGAAATATAATCATCAAACACTCATATTTCCAAATAAATATCTTTTACATGACATAATGGAGAATTTTAAAATCCATACATCCAGTTAAAATTAATCAAATATATTGCAATTTCAAAACAAAAATCGTGCTTCATTTTTATTTTTTATTTTTTTATAATTTAATAATAAATTCTATGCTCATTTTATCAAAAGAGTGTCAGTGTGAGTTTTTTTTATCATGATTTGTAAATCATGATTAAAAAACACGTTTATTAAACGTTATAGAGTTTTACTGATGAAAATTTTCAAAGCATTTTTTTTCCATAATTATAATGACTAAATTTATTATAAGATATATAAATTACAAATTTTTCGTATCATCTAGAATGACACATCAAAATTTCATATTATAATATATTAAAATAATTGAATGTATTTAGTATAGTTTATTTGATCATTTTATAATACATCAAGGTCTTAAGTGTCATCTACAATTGAATCTAAATTTGAATAAAATCAGAGGTTGTCAGTTTTAATGTTTTCAAATTTCATGATTTCATGATAATTATCATTATTCATATGAAAACATAAAATCTCTGTTTTTTTTAACTCAAATTATTCTGTTTGATATAAGGTTTTAATATTATTGTAACTTATTTGAATATTTTTAAAATCTCAATTTTTTTAATAAAGTAAGGTAAAAAGTAATAAAAGAGCTAATATTCTCAGATCTAAATAATTCAATTTGACTAGTAATCTTTGTCTTCCATGTATTATGTAAATAATTAATATTTAAATTCATTATTATACTCTGAAAATGTTAAACTATTAATTCTAATATTGGATGTTTTTTATTTTTTTCTTCAGAAATTTTAATTTTTAGTTTAAAAACTAGTGCATATTTTTACATTAGCTCAGCACTTTATTATTATTTTGATAATTTCTGCCTAAATATTTGAATTAAAGAAAAAACCTTTACAAAAAATACATTTTCTCCATTCATTCTATAGTGCACTTTATATTTATATCACATTTGTTTTCTTTATGTTTTTTAGCTGATGAATTCTACTCTCTAATCGCAATCATCTATATTCAGTCTTTAAGATAATCACTTTCCTACATCATTGTTTGATCAGGATGGATATTGTGAAATAAATATTTTTTGAATTTTTTAACAAATATTTAAAATATTTTTTTTGGAAAATTTTTTATTTTTAATTATTAATTTTTGTGCATGTTTTATTATTTCAAACAGAAAAAAAAAAATTTTTCTGCCAATTTCATATTTATCAAAAGTAAGAGCTCAGTTTAATAAATTTTTCTGAATTTATTAAAACAATTTAAAGTAACTAAAATTCAAAACCATAAAAAATTGTTTAAAAAATTATGAAAAAAAATTAAAAAGTGATTTTTATTTATTTAGAAATTTTTTATTAACTTTTGTGATATTTTATGAGCAAAATTTAATTTTTAATAATTTTAATTTTATATTGAACATTAGCATGTTAATTATATGTTCATAATTCTGCTTATAATTTGACCACAATTTATTGAATAATTACCATTAAAAGATTATTTTTTTATTAATATTTATTAAGTCATTTGAACTTTTTGTTTTGTCTCATAGCTTTCAGTTCTTCTGCATATATATTTAACAAAAATATTCTTTCAGTTCTTTTAAACACATTCGTGAAGAAATAGCTTTTTACTAAATCACTTAATCTGAACTTTAGGTTTACATGAAATTTAGGATTTTTTATAACTATCTTTATTTCATAATTGATTTTTTTATTAATTTTTATTAATCATTCCCTATATTATAGTCAATTAAATTGCTAGCAACAAATTTTAATTTTTAATTTTTAACTTTAACTATCTTAGAGCTACTAACTTGCATTATAATCAATAAAAATGAATGAACATCGCAGCTTGAGATGAGGTTTGAATTTAGGGTTTTTTTCATACCAACCATTCCACCCAACTTTGGACAATAATCATCTGCCCACTACACTTGTCCGACGTGCTCCACAAACGATACTTTTGAGCAACTACACCCTAACTCGTGGCAGCACGTAGCGCCATCAGATGCTGTAATATACATGGCCCACAAATGTTTATCGCTGGAGGTGGAGTCTGACACTCCACTTTCAGTATCGATTTCAGGAATATAATACTTCTTGTAGCGGTTGTGAAAATCAATGAGAATGCGATACAACACGTGAGGATTGACACCCCGTCCTCACTCACTGTACTCGTCATTTTCCACAAGCATCAATCCAGGTGCTGCTATAACCTCCTGAGCATATTTGCTGATGCCCAGATAGTCCAATTTCTTGCAAACATCATCGACGTAAGCAAATCGCATAAAGTGATCACTGAATATGACCAATGGTACAATGAGCATAAAGAGGCATGGTGGACGACGCCGACTTTAGCCCTTTTTGATATCTTTTTGCTTTCCGCATGAATCATATCGTAACCTTCGATACGAGCATCGGCCATTGCAGCCATCACAACTTCGAACGGGTGTTCAAGGTTGTGATGTGAAATATCAGCCTCAACATTACCCCAGGAATGAAATTTTCACAAGCTATCTAGCATTTGAGTCACATGAAATAGTATACATATAAATTGTATGGATGTTGTATGGACGTGTGTGTGAGAGATTACCATAACTGGAGGCAAGTGGTCTCACTTTCTTTCCATTAATGTGTAGCCTATTTCAACTAACTAGTTTCCATTTCTATAAATTTCTCTAGAGAATCTGGGCGGAAAACGGTCACACTTTTTTTAAAAAAAAAATTCACATTTTTTGTGAGCTTTTACAATAAGGAACAATACTTTTGTCGAAAATTAGTAAAAGGATCTATGCATGCTGGCGACGTAATTTTCCATTTTAATATGGAAAATCTTTAAACTTAAAATGAATTCTCCATTTTTTAACGAATAATGGAGAAACCGACTTTGAAGAATAAGAATGTTTAAAAAAAAAAACCAACATTTCAAAATATTGTAGGAAAAAAAAAGAATCGCTAAAACAAATACTTCGTGACATAAATCTCGTTATGAAAACTAATGCCGACAGCCTGTATTTACAATCCTCATTTATCCTCGTAAAATTGGATGGGGTCTGCCCATATTTCTCAATGTTTACTTGACCCCAGTGCTGAAGTGTGTAAGCTCCAATCTGCGCGACGAGGAAGCTGCAGCAGTGTAGTGAGTGAGTGCGCTGCACTGTGTACAAACTGCAGACTCCTCCGTACGTTCTGGGGGCACTGGTACATTCAATTGCTTCGCCTTCTCTTTCGATGAGCAACATCAGAAGATTCAGAAGTGCTGAATCTGCGCAAAGTTAACACCCGGACACAGCAGCAGCGACGTGGTAGGGTCTGGATTGCTGGCTGGATCGAGGAAGCTGGCGCAGAACCCGGCGCGGTGAAGGGCCCTTCTTCTTCGAGGCTGCTGCCGTCGAACCAGTTTCGTCGTGGATCGTGTGAGTTGTCCAACAGCTTCTCTTCGTGTTGTCGATTTGCTTCGAAATTCGGTGGGATCTGGGATCTCCAAGCAGTTTAGTAGTCCGAGATGGAGTTGTAGTTTGGGTTCCTCCTCCTCCTCTTGTCGGCTGTGTTTGTCTACACACTCTGGAGCTGAAGAAAGGGCGCAATAGTCGAGGAGAAGAAGAATCTGTCGGAAATTCTGAGCAGGACGAAGAGGACATCTTCCGTACGAAAGGATCGAGTGCGAGGAGGGAGGGAGGGAGGGAGGGAATGAAGGACTGAGCGGGCGACGCGACGAGAGGAAGCTTGTTGGGGAGGGAGAATCGAGGAGAGAGGTAGGGGAGTTATAGAAGGCAGAAGCTCAATTGAAAAAAACTAATCGGCAGATAGGGGCTGGAATTGAGGCAACATGAGGGTTCCGGCGTGGTCTTACCCGATTAAAGGGTTCTATTTCTTTTTCAGACACGGGCATCGGTTGTGGCACCGCGTGGTTAGGTTTGTGATTGAAGTTATCTTAGCTATCGTGGGGATCCTGTTCTCGCTGTTCTATGTTACGTTCCCAATGCAGCACGATTTGATCGTCAGATTTCTTCCGTACTGGATGGGTGCTCCGGGTGCGATTGCAATGATTCTTCTCGAGACTGCGATCGCCATCGTTTTGTTGTTCCAGTACCGGCTCGAGAGTGCGCAGCGAAAGCTGTTCATCGATGTTTTGGCGATCCGCAAAGTTCAGGTCCAGCCCGCGTCACCGGACGAGCATGCCTGGCTGCAGGAGAGACTGATACCGCAGCTCGTCGGGGTGCCAGCTGAAGCCCCGATGAAGAAGGTTGCTCGTCAGAAAAAACCGCAGGGATACCTGAGCAAAGTTCTCACAGAAGATGAGCACCCCATCATGCATTTTCTCATCACACTTCCTCTGAATTTTGTCCCTGTGGTGGGAAATGCCATATTTTGCTGGCTGAATGCTTTTCCGACTGCCATCAGCTTACATCACTACTATTTCACCGAGATGAAGGGGTTGAGTTCCGAGGAGTTTTCAGCCGTGGTGCACGCCAAGAAACCTCAGTACCAGCACTTCGGTTTCATAGCCTCCGCGTTCAGTCTGGTGCCTGGGCTGGACGTCATTCTCGTTCTTACGAACGCAGTAGGTGCAGCATTGTGGGTTGCCGACATGGAGAAGACTCGGGGGAGCATCAAGACTAAGTACTAAACCAGCGATCCTCCTCACCCCCTCACACATCCACGCACATTTTTTTCGGTGGCACTTGTGAGTGGCTTTTGCGCATGGCAGTGTTGGATATCCGATTGCATTGAAGTGTGGATTTCTCCTGTTTTCCCACCATCTCGCACATGCAGAATTTGGTATGTATCACTACCAAAGCACTCCTTCACGCAGGAGGACTGTAACCCTTGTCGCTGAATCAGCTAGGCTGGATTCCGCAGGATGAGACATAGGCCGAATTAGTCGGGTCTTGAGCAAGCTGGGCCAAACCCCAGTGATTGGCCTTGAGTCTTGCCATGATTGTTTTAATTTTGCTCTGCTATAAAAAGTTTCCAGTAATGATGGAGAAACTCTGTTCCTGTCCATCTGCAGATGGGCTTTGGATTGGTATGACAAGGGTGGAAGATCTTACGGTACATTTGCTCCCTCGTCATCAGGAGAGTCATCCCACAGCCAAGTTTGAGGATGAGAAATGGGGAAATGGGGAATTTGGGACCTAGCTAGGTCGATTTGGAGGTGAAAGAACTCAGAAGCTGAAAAGTGGCTCCTGACAAGGGTGGGTAGCTAGTGATTTTCATTCTATCTTCTTACCTATTTCATTATTCGGATGTGCATTTGACTGAGCCTATTGAGTTCAATGTATAGTACCTCATTCGTCAGATGAGCTGCACCATCAAGCCGGGATTGTGTGCTCAAAGCTGCTGTAATCTACTGTTTTATATACTGGGGATCCCCTAAGGAAGTATTCCAAGACTTGAGCCAGTCAAGAGTTTATGAGCTTAGGTCATCGGCTCCAGAACGACACCCGGGAACTCCATCCTTCAAACTTTTCATGAGGTTTCTGTCATGCAGAAACACTAACCGTCGATGCATCGACTTGAAGATTGTATGTCATAGGAAATCGTTGTTCTTCAAGATTATTTGTGAGTCTACCGTATACCTAATGTCAAAACAAGTGTAGATAAAAGTCTACTGCGGTCCCTAGCACGTTGCCAAGGCAAATTGATGGTGGTCTCAACGTCGCGTGTTTCATATCCTTCTATGCAAATTATTCTTTAGCACCAGCTGTTCTGAATGCAAGGCCCTGTTGGCGCGATTATTGTCATGTGGGCTTTGCTCCAGTTAAAAATCAGCTCAAGTCCTTTAGATAACGTTTTCGTTACCTGAAGAGGTAGGATCCTTCAGTTGATTCAGCTGTATGTCCTTCTGTCAGGAAATCACCCGAGGCCTGTGTTGATTTCTATGTCGTACCCTAAACACTGTAAAACAGCGCCTGTAGGCGAAATCTTGTTAATATTCAAGTAGGAGTATGCCTTTCCATCCCACCGTGGGATGTCGGCTTTTTTGAGATTTGCAACTGGTATCCGCTTGAATGTGTTCATACTCGCTACACTGTCCTTACGGAAACTCTTCATTTTTCGTGGTGACAATAGAGATTTCTGTGGGTGGATTGTTTTTCTTCATGGCAGTCCATGCCTGAAGATAAAAGCGATCTACGTTGCAATGATCCGAGAACCTCTATAACTGTCGCGACCAAAAAAATTTGCAGTCCAACCTTATGTGATTATCTAATCTGTGATAGATAAGCTTCTATTGTATGTTGATAATCACAGTTTTTCCAAACTGTGTGCATAGAATCTTCTTCAAGAGTTTTCTATCATAATTTACAGTGCAGATTGTGTCCGCAAACTGATCATCATTACTCTCTTTAAAGAATCACTGTCAACCTTGTGAGAACAACCTGGATCGAAGCATGAGCATTTTTCATGAGCAACATCCTTATCTATTCCCATACTAGATACAAGCCGAAATCGGAGACTCACGAGGTTATCGACTTACAAGTCAACAATGATAACGCTCCAAAGATGTTCTCTTGGCTGCCTTTTGGAAAATCCTGCGGCTTTTGTACATTTAAAAGATGGGTAACGACCCTGCCAGATCTGAATGGGTCTGAATTTTATCGTGAATCAAAATATGAAGCTGAGAAATTTAGCTGGAGAGCTGGAAATTTTGCTGGGTGGAAGTAGGGGACAGCATGGAAGTATCAGGTACGAAAACACTTAAAGAAAATGGAATGCAAAATTTCTGCCACTTCTCGGATGGCAAATTTGCAAAGCGAAACAGAAACTTGATTGGTGACGACAATTGGCCGTTTGTATACACAAAGGGGTAAGAGAATCAAACCACCTTGTAAATAGTAATGCTAACTCGCTCTTCTTTAATGTTGACGGTGAGAGGGGTTGTTCTAACTTACTTCGCGCCATCATTGAATTGATGAAGCTCGTCAAGCTGGCTTCCATGCCGCTCATCTTGCCTTATGTGCTGACAAGACTCTATTTCGGCTCTATTTCGAAAGTCAATCATTTGTATTTAAGCAATTTACTTTGTTGGTGGTTTATGACATGAACTGACTCTCATTTTAACACCACTTTAGATAATGTGCTTTTGGTAATTCTCATGATGATTAGTCCAAATTTTTTTTGGACGATTTGGCGGATAAAGTGTAGCTTGGGCAAAGTATAGTATGGTTGTTATGTTTGTTAACTATTGATTTTGGCACGTAGTGTTTGTAGCTGGATGCTTTGCAATTTCTCGTTTTCGTTGTGGATTATCCAATGAGATCATTAGGGCTCATCAATTTGATAACCATTTAAATCACTATGCTCTTGCATAATGTGAGTTGATTGAAGGTGAGAAACATTCACATATTTGCCTACGTTGACACATTTCACCATCAATTGAATTGAGAGCTGGCAGAACATGCTTTTAGGACTCAAGGATGACAAAGAATACATTTTTGTTTTCTTGACAAGTTGCTTCACATTGTAATTTGATGTTTACATCATCAAGATCATTAAGCTTGTTGTATATGTATGTTCAAACATGAGATTTTATATGTTTTAATGTGTTAATCTTCCACAAATATGAAAAAACTCCTAAGTAGATAAGTGCAAACTACAATTTATTTTGTATATTTAATACAGTTTAATATCTTGCAATACATTACAATCATTTTCCTATGTGAAGAAGGTTTGATGATGAATCATTTGATTGGATGAAAACCAAAATTGAATAATGTTGTTTAATCAAGATAAGTACCATATGTTTTAACTTGTTCTATTGATTTACCATTTTCCATTTTATCCAAGGGAAAAAATGTAGAAAGATCTTATATTTCTTACGAAAATTTAGTGAGTGAATGAATTTTTATTTTTTTTTACCTTTCTGTTTGAACATTAGTGTAGGTTCAAATTTAATTTTAAGTTTTTCTATCTAACTTGTAATAAGTTGAAATTTTTTGAAGAGTTAGACTAACAGAGAAAAAAATTATAACCTGCGAATAGGAACTATCAGGAATTTCTACTCTCTGTTAATGTACAAATGGCACGATCAATCTATACTCATATTTTCTTGTTATCATTATGTATCTAAGATCAAGTCATAGTTTTTCTATTTGACTAAGGATGCAAGTAAAAGTTTCTCTTCTGTTATCTATATACATAGCAATGTGCAGTGATTTTACTTGTCTCAATAGTTTATATTTAAACGATTTTGTGTCCTTCCTTACAATTGTAATCCAATTTATAATTAGTTTCATACTTTTGTTGATAGTATATACGCGAATGATTGTTGATTATTTCCACGTAACATAAAGCTTGTAGTTGGAGTTAGTTTTCTCCAATTGGTCCATGAGAAGATGCATCTTGCTTCTTTCAAATGATTAAAGCGCTGCAGTAGACTTGTAGGTAAGAATCATGTCAAATAGCTTAATTCAACCAATACAATCAAGCAATATGCTACTTCATATTTTCAGAAGTATATGGTTCAAATTCGCAATTGCCAATATTACGTTTGAATCTCTGCCAATTACAGATATCCGCACTAGGAAATGGAATACATCAGGAAACGATCAATTTACAAATGATGAATCCCAAAACCTAGTCGGCTTGAAGTAAGAAGCACAAAGATGTGAGAACCGTTAGCAAAAATTACTTAGCATGGCAAAAAATGGAGATGGTGGTGGGCATATCCTGTTCTGAGAAGACTTGGCATGTTGGGAAAAATGCAAGAGCATTGAAGCCGAGGATGTACCCTTCAATACACCTGACATTCGGATCAAAATGTGAAAACATGCATTATGATCTCATTTAGAAGAACTTGATCCAAATGACAATAAGCACGTCGATGATTTGCAGCGCTTTTGAACGCCGATACGTGTAATGTTATCCAGATAGAACCTTCACCAAATAGATATCTCTTTCAAACCAAACTATGAGAACTACAAGCTGCGTTGTATGTAGCGCTTTTTAACCACAATACCCACAATCTCACACAACTAGAACTTTCAATGAAGCAATATTCCCTTCCAATCAATATATGAAAAGTGCAGCTGCAGTGAACCAGACGTATGCGGTTATCCTGAGTGAGATTTTGACACCAAATGACTTCCACTCCTCAGAAATTCACTGGAAGAGGCCATATTTATTGATTTGCTAGAATGGTTTACAAAGATTCTCTGAAGAACATGACTTCATACAGCTAAGTTTTAGTGTACATACTACAGATTTATAAGATCATTGGAGCGCAAATTTTCCCACATCCTGTCTCCAAGGTCATCACCAATGCTACAACTTAAACTCAAATTGAGCTCAAGAATAATCTATCTCTGTAAAGATTGACAAAAAAACTTCGTACCTTCTTCTCGTGTTCATACCCTTTATTACTCAATCCTTCCATCACTCTCAACGACAACAACAATTACTTCAGCTTCATTTCCCAAGACGTCATCCGGATCCTTCTCTTCTTCTCGCTTTGTTGTGCTAAATGATTCCCACTTCTAACGAAATCTTCGCCGACATTTACAATTAGAGTGCTTCAGACAGCTTCCAAGACCATAATTCCCGTATCTAGACAACTACGAGAGACTGAATATGCCTTCGGACACCTCATTGTTAAGATTATACAATTAGAGCTACTACATTATATGAGGAAAAAATTGTAGAAAACGATTATCTTCTTTCAACCTTTCTTTGCTCTTCCTGTATCTTTTTGGTCTCCTCCATCTAGATATGGTCGTGCCAACGACAGCTGGAGGTGGAGATATGTGAGATCGTTACGGCTCTGGGGTAGATGACTCTACTGTAGATGACAGTACTTGAAGTGTGAATATAGCTGTCTACAGAACGGACAATCATAAGCAGCAATGCCAAGTCATGGGAAGCATAATTCGAGAAGGAATGAGTATGTAATGGAGGATGAATATAAATCTCGAACTGCTATGAAGGTCCAAAAAACAGCCATGGACATCGATCTGAATGACGAAAGATCATGGACAAGGCACGAAATTCGCCAGAGAGATGATAGATCACAACAACGATGTGAGATTTGTCATCTAGTACAAGGCAGATGATGAATCCAAAGAAGCAGTATGAGCCCATAGTTTTTCGATCTGCAGACGTATCAAGCATAGATTCTTGTCATTTTCTACAGAAAAAGAGAAAGAAAGAATGGGAATCCACATGTAACAGATGTGATAAACTGGCTGGATTCTAGGAAGATGACAATTCGAAGGTCGAGAAACTTGGTAGGCTCGAGTTGTGCTTTTAGGGTGGGAAAAACATAGAAGAAAGCTCACTACTTGGACGAGCGAGAGCTAGCTAGAGAGAGCAGAAACCTAACAATTAGGGATGCTCAGCGAGAGCCGAATTCCGGCTGAGACAAAGGTCAAGAAAGAGCAGTTGGTTCGCAGAATGGCAGGGAAGACCAGTTGAAGTACCTGATGAGGACTTACTGACTCCATGGGGGATTGCATACATAAAAGAAAAAAAAAACCTCTTCTTTCATTATAGTCCTGCTTTCCTATCATCAAAGCAGGACTAAACCTTCCACGACAGAGCATGTCATTGATTAGTACATGCAGAATGTGTAAGAGTGAGAATAGACATTTGATAGCATGACAATCTATGTGGGAGTAAAACGGTATGGCCCTAAGAAAAGGTGCACGAACGCGCAGCCACGGTAAACAACTCTTTCCAGGGAAGAGCACAATTCTTCTCCGGAATCAGTGGGGATAATTTAACCTACACGGCGGCACGAAACCACCGGAAGCATGGAAATATGGCAAAGGGGGCCGCCTCAATCCATTCACTGATGGATCGGATAATGGAGTGCACCGGTTCTATAACCTAAAGGAGAAACGCGAGTAGCCATCATGCAAAGGATCGTTATACAAAAGACCAATTCCAACTATCTCGAAAGAAGGTAGTCGCGTTCGTCATCAGATTTACTTATAAACTTGGAACCACAGCACGGACTGAGTTCCTCTTCTAGGAGACGGGATCAGGTAGGCACATCGCCCTACCAATCCCGCATGTTATTCATCGAAGGCATGGTACAAAACAATACCAAAGCCAAAGACAAAGCTGCACATGAAACACAAAACTAGATCAGGACCAGTGCACAAAGGCCGCCGCTAATTGTTACAGCTCCGTACGAGACTCTGGCAAACAGATCATACCCACAGGTACCTCTGAATTCGACATCCTTTTACGTCGACCGCGGAAACTCGTGATCTTGCAGAAGATCACAAACACTGCGGCATTTCCCTTCCCCCGCAGGCTTTGAAAAGCCGGACCAACTCCCCGCTCACGATACATCTCTGGTGCTCGTCCGCCGAAGATTAATTACAGCGGACTGGACCCGTCCGCAGGACTGCGACCGTCATTCTCTTCTCTTCGCGTCACTTCTTCGCGGCTTTCGACGTCGAAGTGGCAGCAGCGTCGCCCCCGCCAGAAGCAGCCGCTGCTGCCTTCTTGGCCGTCTTCTCCTGCAGAGCTTTGGCGTCGCGTTCGCGACGTTGATCTGCAGTCAAGCCATCGTCCTTGCCCTTGCCTTTGGCCGGCGCCCTCGCGGCAGCCCGCTCTCGGTCTCGATCTCGCTGTCCGCCTCTCGTCATGCTCTCGATTTCCTGTCAAAGTCTCTCAGAGTCCACGACGAAATCCACAATTCGAAACTCCTGCGACGATGGAGCCCGGATCGACCACCACAGCCCCACCCTCTCGGTCCCTCTCACTCGCTCGTTCGTTGGCTTCCAAAGCGACTACGACGATATCGGACTTCGAATTCTCTCTTGTCCATTCGTTCGCATTCATCGGTGACGAGCAGATCCGCCATTCGCGATCGTCTTTTTCCGAGAATTTTTCACCATTTTCGGACCTCTTGTATTCGCCCGAAAATGTGTTCCTTTAGCGTCTTCTTCAAGTTTGATCTGAATATGGGTACCACTTTGTAGTTCCCTCTTCTTCGCATCCTTTCCTTTGTGAGATTTGGAATGAGGGCTTGAATGTGAAAAATATATCCTTCGATCATCAACTTGTAGCAGAATCTTTTCTATGTATCGATATGTAAATGCAAATATAACACTCATAGCCCTTAGTAAAGTTATTCTAGTTTGTATTAGAGTTTTTTTTGTTTTTTTTTGTGTTATTGTTGTCATTAGTGCTGACAATTTGTCGGAGGAACTAGAGCTCAAAGGATCAAATTTGAATCATATATGATTGAAGATCAATGTCAGTTGCTAACATGGCCGTTGTGGAATTGCTAGTATGAGAATCATAAGTCCTTGAACCTGAAACTGAGTTTGATTTAACTGAGGTATCTCTTTCATGTAAACATTAGAATCAAAGTGTATTTGTGGATGTTCTCAGAGTTGAAACTACTTCGAAACTCAGTTTGCACTTTGTGGTGATCACTACGGTATGTTCAAGTTGTTTCGATGACTACATGATTCATGATAGTTTTATCGTTTTGGTTTGGGTTGTGCATGGCTTCAAACAATAAGCATCAAATTAAGTTGAGGAAGATGATACTACTCAAGCAAGGAATCCTGCTTCAATAGAGTTGTTCGGATGAAAGTCACTCCCCTCACGAGGAAAATATTGTTGCTTGAAAATGAAAATTTTGAAACAAACTTTTGATATTTAATTCGTGAAGACAAGTTTCGTTTATATGAGATTATCATGCTATGTAGTCACCACGTACTATTATTGTAATGAGATGGAAATATCAATGAAAGATGTGAAGTATATCAAGAGAGATTTTTGATGTCCAAGACAACATTTGTAGTTTCGAAAATTTGCAATTGTGGTTTATATAAATGATTTTGATAAAAAAAAAAATTTTGCCAAAAAATCTATGTTATAGGCAATGCTAAAAAACAGAATAAGTAATAACAAGGTCTGGTAACATTTGATTATTGATCTTGGAGCAATGAGTTTTAAACTAATTTTATCTTTATTTTGAGTAAATATTTAACAATAAATCAAAATCTGTTAGTTTGAATTTATTCCTTGTGTGAATTTTTTTAATAGATTCAATATTATTGTAATAATTTTATTATTATTATTACATGCGTAAATGTTTCACTTGCATATTTTTTTAATTATGAATTTTCAATATTTTGAAATGTTACTGCCCTAATATTTATTTTTGTTTTGCAATAATAACGTATAGGTAAACAGAAAAAAAAATTGGAAAGAAGTTGGAGCACACACTGTTTGACAGGCTTTTCTCACCTTGAAAATAAGCCCGTGACCACCGGGTTAATGGACAACTGACCGACTTATTGCTGTGTGTACGACCTCGGCGATGTCGAGCACCGAGTATCTTTTGATATTGAAAAGTGCTTTTATAGTATATAAATAGGTATTTCATTCACTTTATCTAACTTTGTCATTGTGTGATTCATTGGAATAAATAATTCCAGTGAAATCATATTTGTGATATCTCATGTTTGATTGGAATGGAATAAGGAAAAAATGTAAGTGCATTTTATCAACAAGAAAAAGATACATGATTCATTATGTCAAACTTTGTCCAAAGAAACACACAAATTCTAATTTGTGTCATGAAGAGCTTTGATCAAATCTCTTATAAAATTATAAACATACTAGTTCAGTTAATATTGTTAGATTTAAAAAACACACATTTGCAATCCATCTGTTTGTCAATTAAGGATTGAATATGTATGTGTTAATTAATGTTTTAATTAAGAATGATATATTCAACCAAAATCTTGAAATAAGATTATGATTAATATGTATGAATTGGATAAAAGTACACAAACAGAATAATGGAATTTAAAAAATTTAAATCTTAAAAGATAATGATATGGTAACAATTAGTTATTTCTCACTTTTTGCTAATTATTATTAATAATATTAATTATTTTCTGTAAACATCTATAAATGGTCAAATGACAGGAGAGGTATATAATTTTTGCGAGGTGGGTAAGTGGTCGCTACTTCTAAAATAATGATTTATTTGTGAGTTGGTGGAGTTTTTTTTTCCCTGCCTTTCTATCGAACTACGTTCCCGTTTGTGGTGAGTTATCACATTGATGAACGATGTGTATGATCCGGGATCCATATGATCTACTGAGTGATTCCCTACAGAACGAAAAAAATGGTGGAGCATTGCAAATCTGATGATTATGATCTCCATAGACTCTACTTCCCTCGTTCATGACGCCTACATTATCCGCTCCCTCCCTCCTTGCCTTCCTTCCTCACTCCGCTGCTGCTATCATTAAAAAAGAACGAACTTTACAATTCATTGCAGCATCTGAGTAGCCACATGCACAATCTTCGATCGTTCGACACAAGCGAGACATCTGAGCGGAGGAAATCCTGAGCGTTATACGAGCATTTGAAATAACTTTCATGTGAATTATGTTTCTTTTGAAAATTTTTTTATTTTTAATAAGTTTGATAAAGTTGTAAAAAATTTTTAATTTCATGAAAACTAGATAATCTCATTTTTTTATAATATAATGCAATTAATCATAACAAGATGATAGCAATGCATTGATCTCTGGAAAATAACATAAATTTGTAAATTGAAAAATTAAAATATTTATTAATCATTTAAAATAAAATATTTCTATAAAGTGTAATATGAAATTACAAATAAATTATAAATAAATTAAAAATGATAAAATTTATAATAAATCAATAGCAAATAGATTTCTAAGTTAAAATACCATTAACAATATTTGCTATATTTTGACCATGAAATGTGCATTCTTTGTTATATTTAAAATAATTATGAATCACATGAATAATATATTAATATTTTTGTACATCTTTGTAAGAGAGGACATTCACAAAAAAATTAATTTACTTAGACCAAAAAATATTAGATTTTCATTTATTAAATTAGTGATATATTCAAATTAATTAGAAAAATTCTTAAAAAGTGAATTGTGATATTTCAAATATTTATAAAACAATGCTTTGAAATCATAAATATTTTATTACACTGTGCATAATACAAATTTATTTTCAAAGAATTTGGATAATGAGACATGTAGTATCATAATATGAATAATTTGTGTTTATTTTGATAAATTTAAAAAAAATCGTCAAGAAATACAAAGGTCAATCCAATACATAGTATGATAAATCAATCTAATTATATTCATATTAGAATGAAATTCTGCAAACCTCAATGGATATAATTAATATTTTTATCTGACATAGTTTGAAGAGATAAAGAAATATGTAGTTGACTATATTGTATTTTGTGATATTCGACATTAAAAGGTTGCATTATATTGGATGCAATATTTAACTTGTTTTTAATCTTTGGAAATTTTTTTGTGTAAATATTATATAATTTATTTCAATAAATATATTTCTTTTAATGAATTTAGATATTGTGAAAAGTTTCATTGGATGAAGAAGCTATATTAAAAATGAATTTCATTACTAATAGATTTTTTATGATATGAAATAAAAAGAAACAAGGAGGAAAAAATATAGAAATTTTTTAAGAAACAGATATTGAAATAACATATTATCTTTTACAAAATAAATGGAAATCTCAAAAAACAAAACAAATTATATGTATCAATCAGAATCATCTACTACTATTTAATCAAGGCTTGCCATTATAATTGATTATAAATAATTTGTACATTGTCGAGAGAAAGTTGATTTCGGACGTCAAGTGTATCATTAGTCGCGACATTTGTGATGTCGGCAATATTTTCTTTGTGAAAAATTAGCGGAGTTAATCTTTCAAAAAACTTACAACTTTATACACAGGCTTTCTGGCCCCAGAAGTAGATGCTTAAATTCTACAAAATCCCTGTGGCAAACTGCTTCAGTTCTGCAGACTATTCGTAAATTTTGCAGAAATCACTACAATAAAGAAAATCTACCGATCTATGTGCCGATTTCCACCAAAGAACTGTGCACTGTCAAACTCTAAGGTTTCGAAAGAGCAATGTCTGAGATATTCAAGTTCAGGTAATTTTATGGGTCTGTTGAAATACAGAGCTACATACACCTTTTCTACTGATGCGATGGAGATCAGTGTGTAATCATGGTACCTTGAAGACTACAACAGGCTCGCCTTTGTCACCAACAGACGAGGATCCATCACAGTATCTTATCCATGCGATATTCCAATTGTAGGTGTCTGCAATCGGGACGACAGGACGCGTGAGTGTGGTAATCCACTTTTTGCTTTTGTGCGGAATTTAAAACAATTTGGAAAACAGTACCGCAGCAGCCGTGTAAATGGTGATCGGTACATTTAAATAGAGTGAAGATGGATAATTGCGGATCTCGCATGATCTCGTAGAATCCAAAAGTTGGGCGCAATGTCCGGAACAGGCGCCCGACCTGAACGATCGATTCTGAAGGAGTTCTCCTTCGGCGCAAGGCGCATAATCCACCTTTGGCGGTACGCCTTTGGCGCTAAGGGGATCCTTCAGAGTTTATGCAATTCACAACGCCTCGACTTGCTCAGGGTCTTGTTGGAAAGAGCGCCAGCGCATCACGATTATGTAAGTACCTACGGGGTAGCGACTCCGTACGGTTCGCCTTCGGTTCAACGCCTACGGCGAAACGGACAGGTGCGCCCTCGGCGGGACAGAACTCCAGCGGCGAGAGCGCCTGCGGAGGGACAAGAGAGATTGACAGACGAGACAAAATCCGTTGACCACGGTCAACGCCTACGGCGATGCACCTACGCCGAAGGACAACGTGAGGGAGCTACGCCGACGAACAACTTCGGCGATGGGGGTCAACGCCTTCGGCGGAAGGAGTTCGCCTGCGGCGGAACGCCTTCGGCGGTGCGGGATG